ATAACAATACCTTTCTTGGAGCCATTAAAGGGATAACATTGACAAAGTTCTTATTATAGTGCCTCCCAGGACACAGCAACCTACTGCTAAATGACAAGTATTACTGGCCACATTCCTAACCCCAAATGCCACTCCTAGTTTCCTATGCCCCCTACATTCCATCACACACACACAAAAAAAATTGGAGATCTGGGGGCTGGTGTGAGGGCTCTACTAGCTAACTCCCCCACCTGCAAGTACCAGCATCCCAAATGGGCACCAGTTCAAGTACTGGCTGCTCTACTTCCCTTCCAGCTCTCCACTTGTGGCCTGAGAGGTGGAAGAGGGTCCCAAGGACCCTGCACCCGCCTGAGAGACCCAGAGAAAGCTTCTGGCTCCTGACTTCAGATCAGATCACCTCTGGGTGTTGTGGCTATTTGGAGAGTGAACCAGAGATGGAACATCTTCCTCTGTCATTCCTTCTCTCTGTAAGTCTGACTCTCCAATAAAAATAAATAAATCTTAAAAAAAAAAAAAGTGGGGGGAATCCAACATGAAGAACAGAGGAATACAGAGGCCACAAAGCTAATGGTAGAGCTTTTAGGGGGAAGAATGGAGGTGAAACTCTTGTTTCCAAAGGATGAAACTGCAAAGGTTCCTCCTTTTCCAGTCTCATGGCCCTCTGGCCTCTTCATTTTATCTGAAGTTGGTTCTGACTCTTGGAACGCCTGCCCTGGGTGTGGTGAAACAACAGGACCTTCTTCCTCATAAGAGGAGGGTTCCAGTTCCTTAGCCCTTCAAGGCCAACCTGGTCCTTGACCTCGGATGAGAGGCCCCTTCTGCAGGGAGAAGAATTAGACTATGATTAGGGGCTAACTCTCTTCTATTAAACATGTAGTTGTTTGGCTGCATGTTTTTTGAGGGAGTCTTTGGAAACCTTGTTGAGGCAGTTGCCATCAAGAAAGCCACTAAAAAATTCAGAGATCTTCACTTTGTTCAGCTGGCATGTCTACTACACCTTGTACTTCATCAACTGAAAATTGTGTGAGCTACATATTAAAGAAAACATCCAGAACAGGGCTTGACATGGACATAACAGGAGCTCAACAAATATTTGTGGAATTAACAAATGAATGGAACTTGGACACCTGAAAAATAAACAGACTTCAAATTTGTATACTATAATGAAATCTTAACTAAAATCCAATGTGTAAAAAGAGGCTTCATTCAGTGTTCGTATTACTGGTATGAAGAAAGACTCGTTAAAATATCTTTTAAATTGGTGTTTACGTGCTTTATTTGCTGCAGAGACAGCAAGACAGAGATCTTCGGTCTGCTGCTTCACTCTCCAAAAGCCCACAACAACCAGGACCAGGGTGGGCTAAAGCCAGGAGCCCAGAACTGTGTCTGGGTCTCCCAATGGAAGCGAAAGGAACCCAAGTTCTTGAGACATCACCTGCTGCCTCCCAGCCCACTCTGCCAGAAAGCTGGAATGGAGAACCAAGCCTGCCTCAAGCCCCAATGCACCATTATGGGGTACAGACATCCTAAGTGGTAATTTAACTGCTGAATGAAATGCCCAGCCCTTTCTAAAAATGTGTATTTGAGAGACAGAGAGAAAGCGGAAAAAAGACTGAGAAAATATTTCTTAAAAGTGTTGTACCATCAGGTGAGGTCTCCTTGAAACTTTTCAGCTTCCCATGGTAAAGAAGAAAGATCTTCACACAGAAAACCTAGGTTTACTCCAAGTTCTACTATTTATGAGCAACTTGCTTCACTCTGGGTTTTTGTTCCCATTATTATGGAAACAATAATATCTGCCCTAGCCTTCCCATAGGCATACTGCAAAAATCACAGGAGATAACAGATGGGAGAGCGTTTACTGAACTACAACATTTACTCAAAGTCTAATTGCAAGGATGCTTATCACACACACTGCTTTGGCTCACATTACCCTTCCCACCCAGAATCTTCTCCAACTCCTCTCTGCCTGTTCAAATCTCTCCCACGGTTCAAAATTTGATCTTGGCAGTATTCTCCACCCTACCTATCTTGTTTTCCTTTTGCTCCTACTCTAAGAGTTCACATTTGTTAATTTCTGTTCATGCAGAGGTGGTGCAGTGCTTAAAGCTAAGTAGAACCTGTCCAGACAACCTGCTAACACACTTCTTAGCAACAGAGTCCTTTGACAGGAGACCTTAACATCACTAAGCCTCATCTACAAAATGGGAATACTAATGCCTCTTACAAGTTTGCTTCGCATAGTAAATGAGATTACTCATGTACTTGATGCCTTACACAAAGCAAATGCTCAATCCGTTGTAGCTGTTATGGTTACGAAACACTGCTCCCCACTTCAAGAAGCTGTCCTATCCCTTCCAACTGTGCTGTAATCCTGAGAGCAAGTGCCCTCCCCACACTGCCGACGTGCCTATTTCTCTGGCTACCCAGACCCCATCCCCATTCCCATTCCAGAGAAGTGCTGAGTTCAAAGACTGTTTCCCCATAACACTTGTTCAACTGATGAAAATTAATTGCTTTTCCCCAAATGACATGTAAACCTTTACCACAATCCCATTGCAGTCAGTTGAGAAAGTCAGTGTCAACGGAGAAAAGTAACTTTTTCTGATCAAAAGTAACTTTTTGTGATCTGATAATCAAAACACTTAGCTAAGCCATTCACACCATTTTACTACTGACCATGTAGTGCTACATTAGTTAACAGTCTATAAACATTTCCAACAAACAGATCTGCTGTGGGAACTTCTGTCAAATTCTGCAGCACTCTCCTGCCCCTCACTGCACAGCAACTTTAATCTTACAGATGCAAATGGTATCAAAGCTAACAGGTCTGAAGACAAAAGATACTTGGGGGCATGCATTAGTACCACTTCATCAGAGATGAAATAATTCTGGTGTTATGGTATCAAAGCCCTTTGGATGTTAGGAGCTTCTCAGAGAATTCTACACCACAATAAACAACACTATAGATACAATTTAGCAATTTACAAAGCAAACATGACTTAAAGCCATGTTTTGAGAAGAGTAACTACAAATTATGACATTGTCAACAAAAAAAAATTCTTAGTTTTAGATGCTATAGAAAATGGTTCCCAATTGCTTTAGAAATCACGTATTTAGTGTTTTTGTTAAACTGAGCCAGAGATCACAGAGGAAAAAAAATACATATATGCTTTGGGGACTGTATCAGACTTTCCCCTGAAGGAGCAACAGACTGAGAAACAACCCACAGCACACCCACAGGCTGTTCAATTTTCTGTCTCTTGAAGTCAAAGCCTTCTTGACCAAGCACTTTGAAAGCCTAGCCCACACTTGGTCTTTTGTTGATACTCGGAGGAGGGAAAAGGAAAGCAGCAATGTTTGCCAACTTCAAGAGTTTACATCTTACTGGCTGCTGAGTACTCCCACCCTCCTGCACTTAAGCCTCTTGTCTTTCATCCTCAAACTCACTTATTCTACAGCATCCTTACCACTTTCCAAGTACATGGCTATGGAAGAAGGGCAAGGTGTTCCATTTGCGTGATAAATGTAAAGAAGGCTTTTTTCTTTTTTTTTTTTTTTTAATTTCAAATGGTTTAGATCAAGTGGTACTTAAATACAGGATTTCAACTGACCAAGCTCAGGGAACTAAAAAGAGTAAGATCCAAGGCTATTTTCTTTCTGGGTCACAGCTTTCCATTTGATTATTAACCTTCTGGATTTGGGTTCTCTTACAGTAAACAGGTGCTAGGAAGCAGCCCTGGCTTCAGCAGTTCCCCCCCGCCCCCGGCCTGCCCCCACGCCAGTAGAAAGATCCACACACTTTCACTGGTTGATGAGAACGCTGCTAAACCTTCCCTTCTATTTTAACTCTCAGGATGTTTTCCTCTGAAGGAACGCCACACAGGGTCTGAACAGCAATCCTGCTACCTGAATCCTCAGTGACAGGGCAATCGTGGCCCGTGCCTTGACTTTCTGTCATGTTCTGCTAGCCTGTTGAGCAGCACCTGGCTCTCACCCTACTACCTGGTGTTGGAAGTGTTCCAGATGGGTAAGGTTGGAACCCAATGGCACCATAATTAACTCTCCACTCTGATTTTACAGGCATCTTATTCTCACAGGCAAAACACCAAATGGTTTCATTTGGGGTGGCGGGGAGATCTCCACCTACAAACAACAAACTGCTCATCTGAAGTCTTCTGTTCAGAGTTCACTAACAAAGGCCCTCATGGAGAGAGGGGCGCTGTTTTTGCCTATCTACACCTCTGTTGGTGCAATTCCATTTCTCAGAAGGCCTCAGCAATGCCCCATTTGCTCTGCTTATCCACAACGTGAGCTGCCAGGAATGAAGATGGCCAGAGAAAAGTGGGGCTATCTCCTTGATCAAAAATGCTGGTGAAAGAGGAGCACCACGCCAAGAAGACAGGAGCCTGTACCGCTAACTAGCACTATCAAGAGGTGGTTAGGCAATTGCACTTTTATTTTCCTTTTGCTTTTTGACTGTAGATTTAATTTAATTTTGTCATGGCAGGATTAGCAACCAGGCCACAGAGGTGAAGGGACATTATAATAAGACAGCACATTAATCCTCTATCCCACCCAAGGCAGAAGCAAAACCAAACAAATAGCAGCTTCCTGGAAATTGAATTTCTGTTATCCAGATGTCAAAGATGTAATACCCCAATTACACAAACTATTGCCAGTGAAGCATGCCAGCGAATATGCAATGTAAATGGGGTGAGCACGGAGCGACAAAACTGCACAGTCAGCATCTGGCTCGGTGAGAGAGTGATAATTAGCACTGTGTGTAGACACTAATAAACATTTATGTCTGAAATTACAACTTTTAGCCATGTTAATAAGGGATATATTGGCAATCTGTAAAATAAAAGGTCTTGGAAAGAATGTCATACATTAAGCAATGGCAGACATTTCCCGTTCTTGCACCATCTTTTTTTTCCCCCCCTAATTGCAAATGGCCACACCATTTTGCTGAGAAATTAATTGACATAGGAACCTACCTAAAAAAATGGGTTGTGTCTCTTTGGTCTCCCCGTTAACATCATTGCTGAATTCTGAGATCTTATAAACCTCATGGTGATAATCTGGCATGAGAAAATGAGGAAACATTACAATCTAATGACCTCAAGACAAGAACAAGCAATAAAGACTAGGATTTCCCTCTATACAGAATGTATAAGCTATCCTACACTTGGAGAACTCAGTGATTCACAGGATTTGTACTTAATAATAACAACCTGTAAAACTTGGCTTACTCTGATGTACACACACTTGAAATATTAGCTTCACTTTAGAAAACAGCTTTGCCTCATCACATGGTTTTCATGGTGAATTTTGCCCCCAGATGCCGATTATTGGGTTTCTTTTCTTGCAGGCAGCAAGGAGGCTTACAGGGAAAAAGAATGTCTTAGTCCCTAAGCAGCACAGAGGCAAGTACATATGAAAGAAACACTGATTTGTTATCTTACATATAGCAAAAATTTTCATCTTCACGCAGTACTTCTTTTTATTCATCACTGCACTTTAATACACAATGCTTTATTTTCTAAAAATGTACCTGGAGAGATAAGAATCAAACTCATAACTTAAAAAGGGGGGAGGGAGGGGGGAGAATGTGCTGTGTTCATCGAAGTTTACAATACAGTGTTTTAAAAACTCCCCTGCAGAGGCTTTAGCGACCTTCTGGAGGAGGACGCCTGGGTCTGAAAACAGAGGTTCGCGGTTAACAGCTCTTCTGTTTCTCTGGCCTTAGATCTCCCAGGACAGTGTTGAAAAAACCACTCTCGCTTGTAAGATAAAGTGGTAAGTTCCCTGAGGTCATACATAAAAGCAGCCTGCATTCCTGAATGAATCACATTGCACCAACACTGGCTGGTCCTCAGCACACGCGGAGAGTTTTAAAGTACAAATAACTGAGGAATCAACACTGCTGCAGAAAAAAAAAAAAAATAGAGGAGAGAGTATTTTCAAATACCTAAACTATTTCAAGCATCTCTCATTAAACAGTATCCAGACTAAATGAGGACAGCCAGCTATGGGTAGATCCTCAAAATGTCAAAATGGCTACAATTAAACTGTTTTTCAAACTGATCAGAAGTGGGTTTTACCGCATCTACATGCTAGCAGCTTAGTCTGAAAAATCCAATCACTTGCAACTGTCTTCTAATTTTCAGTAGTTTACATGTGACTTTGTGCAGGTGGCTGAAACAATCCTCTCGCCCCAGGATCTGATGCCAACACTAGGAACAACCTCAGAGTGAAAGTGGACTGGTTCTGTGGTTTGGCTTTGACTTCAAGTTGATCCAAAGATATTTAAACAGGGTGGGTCTAAACTCAATAAATAGTAGGACCAGTGGCATTACAATGAAAAAGTCACCTGCTTCTAATTTAAGGTGAACACAATACCTCTTGACAGTCACATTGTCAAGACTGCCCTTATCTTCAGTTCCGATCAATTTGAGAAAAGTCTGGAACATCTAGACTCTAACAAGTAACTGAACACAAATGAGGCTGTAACCAACTTTCCCCTCCCACAATGAAATAAAAGCTCCGAGAGCGCTCGCTGTACACCTGTTCAATGATCGGGAACTAGCTGGTTTGGTTTTGTTGTTGTTTCAAACGATAGTTGCCTGACTACTACGTGATCTCGCCTCAAACACCTCTCTAAGCCGACCTAGCTAACTAGCAAAGATGTTGGCTGGCAACAATTCTGCTTTGGGCTTGGACATCTAACGAGCTGTCCTTACAAGAACAACGGTCATCTTGCTCTCTCCCCTCTAGATCCCCCCCCCACCCCCTTTCTCTTTGGAAGAAAAAGCAAAACAAAAACAACAAATTCACCAGTCGGATCATTCACGCACATTCGGCCTGATGGGCCGGGCAGCCGGCCCCGGTGGTACCCCCCAAAGAGGGCTCGCCACCTCCCCCTCCCAGTGTCATTGTTTGCTAAATTTCCTGAGGTGCCCTCCGACTTGTTTACGTTAAATAACATCCTGTCTCCCCTCTCGCCTTCGCACAACTTTCCCCGCCGCCCGGCGTGCGTGTGCAGCCCCGGGCCCCGGGCGCCAGGCTCGGGAGGGGATCGGGGATCGGGGAGGGCGCGTCCCCGGCGTGGACCCCCCGCGGGCGGCCGGGGGCGCGGGGCCGAGTGCGCGGCGGCGCACGGTCCTTCCTCCCGCCACCCCGGCCGGCCGCTTACCTCGGCTCACCAGTTTGAAGCTCTGAGATTTCCTGCTTCTTTTCCTCTCAGAGAACTCCATGGTGCGGGGAAGGCGGCGGCGGCGGCGGCGGCAGTGGCGACTGCGGCCGGCAGAGGCTGTGGAGAAGGCGGCGGCGGCGGCGGTCGCGCGGGCTCGTGTCACCGCCACGGAGCCTCCGGGACCAAGGTCCGCGTCTCGAATCGGCGGGGGGTGGTGGGAGGAGGCCGAGGAACGGGAGGAACCACCGCGAGCCCGCTCGGGGGCTTGCGGGCGCGGGGCCGGCGGCGTGGGCTCCGGGGAGAAGTTGCCCCCCGTGCGGCCCCACCACCCGGTGTCCTAGACGCCCCGCCGACCCTCTCTCATGTCGGCTCGCTGTTTCCAAAACCGCCGCCCGCCGCGGCGCAACTTTCCGTTGGGAGCGGGCCGGGCGGGAGCGCGGCGGGGGGCGGCCGGCCGGCGCCCTAGGCGCTCGTCGCGGCCGGCCTGGGCTCAGCCTTCAGGACGCGGTGGCGGCGGCCCTGGGGACGCGGCGGGCGGCCGGGCCGAGGGGAGGGCGGCGGCGGCGGCGAGTGCGGAGCCGGCCCGGGCGCTGACCGCCCCCGCGGGAGGAGGGGCGCCGGCGGAGGGGGCGGTGCCGCCGGGACCCCGGGGCCACCTGCTGGCGGAGCCCGTCGGCCGCCATCCCCGGGGGCCGCCGCCCGCCGTCCCCGGCCTGGCCGCGCGGCTCCCCGAGGAGGCACGGAGGCCGCGGCGCAGCGCCCTGGCCGGGGCCCTGCCGGCCTGTCCCTGGTGGGGGGGACGCCGGGGCTGCAGCCGGGGCCTCCGCTCTCAGACCACCCCACCATTCCCACCTTCCCGCACTGCCCGTTTCCCTTGACTGCTCACTGGGGCTGAGCTTGTTATAAATAAACTTAGGGTTCGTGGACTCTCACTGGACAACCCTCTGCCAACGCAAGATGTGCAAAGGGCCAGATTCACTGATTTTAGGCAAGTTTTTTGGGGGGTGGGGTTGGGGGGTCGAGGACTAACCTATCAGTGCTCTGCGAGAAAAACTTAAAAAGGGAATTTAGAATGTATTAGTGAAAAGCGTCTAGAGTGAGCTTCAGTCCTTTTCCCGATCTGAGCGACTGAAGGAAGAGACCAGTTATACTCCAGGAGAGCTCTTGGAATTGTGGAGCTTGGAGAGGATGCAACCCCGAGGGGTGCTGGGTAGCTCCGAGGATTCAGGGAAGCCAGAGAACTCTGCCGCTTAAATTATGCCGAAATTTAACTGGCAAAACCAGAAAGCTCTTAATTCCTCTATGGAGAACTAAGAACCAAGCTACTGCCCCATTTCTTTCTCACAGTATCCTTTTGAGCCGGAGCAGAAAAGAATTTGGCACCACCCCGGAAGGGCAAATTAGGAACGCGTTCTATCGTGCTGAAATGTATTCACCGTTACAAGGAAGCTTTCCAGACCCAAAGACAAGGAGGCAGAGATGGGCTGTAGATCCAGCACTGTTAGCGAAAACCCAGATGGCTCGGAAAATGAAGAGAGGAGAAGGATGGGAAGGGTTGGTTGACAAACATGGTGAATTCCACAGCAGACCCCACTGAATGAGGAGAGGATGACTAATTCATTTACAGGGACGCACGGAGGACAGCTGTCAAACAAGGGTGAGAAGTGAGCCATCCAGTTTGATGATGGTTAATAAGAGATGGGTACACACATTGAGGGGTTGGGAGGTGATTAGAGCTGGCCTTGAGGTGAGATCAAGGACCTTTGAATCAAAAATGGAAATCTTAACTTGGATGGTCATTGCCTCCTTTGGGCTCATGCTCAAAGATCTGGTCCCTTTTCCCAGGAAAAAAAATGTGTGAGACCAAATTTGGTATAGATTTCTTGGAGTTCTTAGACCCTCTGGAACCCTCCAAGATAGGAGAAGGAAACAAAGAGACAGCAGGGATTGAAGAGGTGATCCAGTCTGGTTCTGTTTCTTGGTTTCTCGCCTTCCTCTTTAAAATCAGGAATAGACGCGCTGACACAGTTAGTGTAGTGGTTAACGCCATCTCCTTGCATCCACTGGGATCCCATCAGGGCACTGGTTCTAATCCTGCCAGCCCTGCTTCCCATCCAGCTCCCCGCTTGTGGCCTGGGAAAGCAGTCGAGACTGATCAAAAGCCTTAGGACCCTGCACCCACCGGCTCCTGGCTTCGGATCGGTGCAGCTCCAGCTCTTGTGGCCGGTTGGGGAGTGAATCAATGGATGGAAGATCTTCCTCTGTCTCTCCTCCTTTCTGTATATCTGACATTCCAATAAAAACGAAATAAATCTTTTTAAACTAAATAAATCAGGTATAGAATCCTGAAGATGTTTTGAATGTCTTAAAAGAGAGCACAGTATTTTGCTCCCCAAGCTGAGAGCCAGTTTTTCCTTTTTGTCACACCTTTCAAGGAGTCCTTCTGACAGTCAGGAGGCTAAGTACTATACTGACTGAGGAACAGAATCACTCATGCCTTGGAGTATAAAATGAGATTATATTATGCTGAAACTATGATGAAATCATTGGGGTTGTCTCCCAAGATGCAAATCCCTTGGAAAAATATGAACATTTTCAGTTCTTGTAGGAATATGAATTCCATTTGCTGAAGAGAATCTTTTTGATGTTTAAAATAAGATATTCAAGGTAATAGCATTTTAAACATATGAATCATTTTTTCCGAGACCTTTTTTACCTGGTTCTCCAAAGATTTTTTTCGATGAGTGAGTTGATCTGCAGGAAACGTAATCCATGTCTGTCCTATTAGCTGTTACAAAAACTCAAAAAAATTTACTTTGCTTCACTTTGTGCATGTTCATGATGCATTTATGTAACAAAATGTGTGTCTATAATTAGCATTAAGTAATATTAATTACAATATTGAATTTCAAATGAGATTGCTTTAAGTAGTAACGTTAGTCGGCTCAGGCTGCCTTCCCAAGATACGGTGGATGGGGTGGTTTAAGCAACAGAAGCTTATTTCTCATGGTTTCCAAGCCCGGAAGGTTTCAGCTAGGGTCCAGCGGAGTTCGCTTGTGTTGAGGGCTCTTCTCCTGACTTGTAGGTGCTGCCTTCTCTCTGTGTCCTTGCAACATGGGCAGAGATTTCTCCCTCTCTTAGAAAGCCATCTTACAAAACTCTTTTAAACTTAATTACCTCCTAGTAAAGAACCAGTCTCCACATACAGTCATTTGGAGGATAAGACCTTCAACATCTAAATTTTGAGGGGAAATAATTTAGTCTACAGCAATATTTTACTGAAATGCTCATTTAGAGTTTGGGGTGGGGTGTCTAGGAAAAGTCCTATGGAAGATGTACTTCCATCCAATGATTCACTCCCCAAGTGGCCGCAATGGCTGGAGCTGCGCCAATCCGAAGCCAGGAGCCGGGAGCTCTTCCTCCAGGTCTCCCACATGGGTGCAGGGTGCCAAAGCTTTGGGCTGTCCTTGACTGCTTTCCCAGTCCACAAGCAGGGAGCTGGCTGGGAAGCGGAGCTGCCTGGGTTAAAACCAGCGCCCATATGGGATCCCGGCACATGCAAGACGAGGATTTTAACCACTACACTATTGTGCTGGGCGCTGGCCAAGTATTTCTTGTGCTCATACAGACCAGATATCCTCTTACATGACAGACAATCAAGTCTCTCATGAGCGGCAGGGGTCCAAGCACCCAGGACATCCTCTGCTGCTTTCCCAGGTGTGTTAGCAGGAAGGTGGGTCAGAATGTTGCAGCTGGGTCAAACCAGAGCCCATATGGGATCCAGGAATGCAGGTGGTGGCTTAACCCACACTACCACAACACCAGCCCCCAATCATATATGCAATTTAGAGCTGTTAGCCACTTTGGGCCCAGCACAATAGCCTAGTGGCTAAAGTCCTAACCTTGCATGCACCAGGATTCCATATGGATACTGGTTCATGTCCCAGCTGTTCCACTTCCCATCCCTGCTTCTGGCCTGGGAAAACAGCTGAGGGGAGCCCAAAGCCTTGGGACCGTGTACCCACGTGAGAGACCCAGAAGAAGTTCCTGGTTCCTGGCTTCAGATCGGCTCAGCTCTGGCTGTTAAGGCCACTTGGGGAGTGAACCAGCAGATGGAAGATCTTTCTCTCTGTCTTTCCTTCTCTCTGTAAATCTGACTTTCCAATAAAAATAAATAAATCATTTTAAAAAATTATTAGCCACTTTTTAAAAAGTAAGAATAAACACACTAAATACATTTTAGTTAACAGGAAATAGGCTATATATAACATGTTAAAATATTACAACATATAATAACAGAATATTATTGAAATTTTTATATACTTTGCTTTTATGTGACAGTTCAAAGCTGCAGTGTTTTTTGCACTTAGAGGACAAAACAATTCAAACTAGTCAAATTTCAAGTGCTCAGCAGCACTTGAATTAGTGGTTACTATGTTGAACAGCTCAGATTTGGGAATACCACATATATATGTGCACGGAGATGACTACATCTTGATTATTGTTGAACTGTTTTATTAATAACCCTAAAAAAAGGGATGTAAGCCGAGTGGTATTGTCATCTTGAGGCTTTTTATGCATCTTTTATTGGATTCTTTTGAATCGAAAAATCCTGATACTTAATAGATTCTAGAAATTATTTGAGAATATTTAATAAGCATAAATATTAACTTTGTGATTTCATGACAATTATCAGAAGGATTATGGGAAGAATAGGCAGTCCTACTTTGGCCCCTATTTCTTAATTTGTTGCTGTTCTAAAGTGAGTTTCCACACTCATTTGCTTCCTTGGTTTTAGTGATAATGTCTTAAAAGATATAGTACTTAGAAGAAACTGCATAAGTCAAAATGAAATTTTACAACGCTTCACAAATAATATTGCCAAATATCTGTATGGTGTATCTATCTATAGGACCTTGCCAATTCCTATACATGATCTAATTTTTGTTATGATTTATTTATTTTTACTGCAAAGTCAGATATACAGAGAGGAGAGATAGAGAGGAAGAACTTCCGTCTGATGATTCACTCCCCAAGTGGCTGCAAAAGCCGGTGCTGTGCCAATCTGAAGCCAGGAGCCAGGAATTTCCTCCAGGTCTCCCACACGGCTGCAGGGTCCCAAGGCTTTGGGCTGTCCTCAGCTGCTTTCCCAGGCCACAAGCAGGGAGCTGGGATGGGAAGTGGGGCTGCCTGGGTTAAAACCAGCGCCCACATGGGATTCTGGCTCGTTCAAGGTGAGGACTTAAGTCGCTAGGCCACGACACCGGCCCCTTCGATCTAGTTTTTTTTAACTGTTCTGTGAGGGCCTATGCATTAGAACATATAGTACAACTGAAAAATAACCATTTTTCTCAGATTACTTTTTAGTGAAGTTAAAATAGTACAATGACTCTTAAAAGTGATGTGTTCACTTTGTCTTCTGTCATTACTATAAAATAAACTCTGATCTTTTTTGTTCATATCTCTATAATAAAGATCAAACCTCTATTTTTGAGTCAATCTTTGTTAGACTTAAGCAGAAACCGCAATCTGTTCCATATAAATTTCTCTATAAATTTGTAT